AAGTCCAGATGACATGATTCAACCTTTTTTGTTGTTATATACCTGGATGACTGAGAAAACAAACTTTGTAATAGTGCCAGTAGTTCTCTTTTTCTGGTTTGTGAAATTAGGAGGCAAGAGGAGGAAATAAGGCTGCGCTACAGGTCAAGCTAACCCCAGAAAGTAAAAAATACAATAAAATAAATAAAAACACTGTTGGTTTGCGAGCCGTATGGTTGTTGCTTGTGATGACAACTAGAATGTTACCAGCAGAGTTCATCTGCTCCACATGAACCGAGACAAAATGTTTAATTGCGTAAGAATCAAGACTGTACATTTGAGTAGACGCAAAGAACATCTAGAAGATGGTTCTAGTTTTTCTGCTCTACGAATGCTGATATCAGAAAAACAACAAGATGTGAAATATTACAAAGCGGTGGTAAAAGACATGGAGGTGAAAATGTTGAACTTCTGCTTTAGATTTAGCAGCTGCTCATAAAAGGCAGAGCTCTCAGACACAAAGTTCCAGTCCGCTGCAATGAAACTGCTCCAAGGAAATACACGGGCATGTGTAGGCCGTGCAGACAAGTAGGAGCTTGCAGATACAACCTTAACACAACGGACCATTAATGGTATTGAAGCTGCTGCTGAACTTATGCAGGATGTGATGTTTAACAAAACATAATCAAAAATGTGTACTGTAAGCACGTCACATTAAAGTAAAAGAGTAAAAGAAATAAATCTATCAGCATAGATTAGGAAAACAAGAACATAAAAGTGATACAAGGCAAAAAACAACAACTTTTGTCTATTTAAATGACAAGTTAATCTACTTTGAAAAAGATCCACACAGGCCAAAACAAACTTTTGCTATCGTCGACCAAGCACAATACTTGCACCACAGCAAATCTGCAGAGTCCTCAGGATGATCAGTTAGATAAACAAAAAAAACTGTTGGACTTTAAAAGTATCTTTGTTGGGCCTGGCACGATAAACAATAAATCAATTAATTGCACGATAAGTGAAAATTATCGACCTTAATTTAATTTACTGGCTTTATCGTTTCTTCGTCTCTCTCTTTCTATTGAAGACACTGGATGACAAAAAGCTCAACTCAGGTGATTTCACTGACCCCTCCCTTTCTCTTTTTTGTTCTTTTCTTTAAAATCTGTTTTAACCGTCCAAAATCATGTTGTTGTATCGTTATAAGCAGCTAAGCTGAGAAGCTAAGCTACGAGCTAAGCTAACAGGCCTACCTCGGAGAAAAACTCCGTCTTGTCCAAGCTCCAAAATTCACGGTTGAAACCCGTGCCTTCATGTAAAAAGTTGTTTTTCCCTGAAAAAGGAAGCTGAGAACTTGTTTAATGATTTTTTATTAAAAGCTTTATGTGAAAAATGCTATGCTAAAGAGCTCAAACCGCACTGAGTGGCCGCCATTTTGAGAAGCGGAAAACAGGAGAGACGGTCCATGTCACGTCAAGGGGCCTCCCTCCCATTTTTCTTAAAGAGACACGCTGCTCGCTCCCTCACTGTCCATCTTTTGGTTTAAACGGTCTTATACAGCCATCCAGTGGTCAAAAAAGGTACTACACAAAAATTAACCAACATTTCTTCTAAAAGTAGACAATAATTACTAATTATTGTCAAATTTCAAACAATATTATTGTTTATCGCAATAATTTCTGAGACAATTAATCACCCAGCAAAATTCATTTTCGTGACAGTCCAGCACAGGTAGGTTTACAACAAATTGAAAACTAAATCAAAGCTACATTTACATTGTGAGGTGTCTGAACAGTCCCGATGTATTTACTGTACACTGCTGCCGTGCAGGTTCATGTCAGGCTGGAGCAAAATAAAATAAATGTCTTCATGCGGCACCGACTGTGTCACAAAAACAAACATGAAAGTTTCAACTACTGTATATGAGAAAACTAGCTCATGTGTCAAGGATCATAACCCAACACTAAAAACATGACTTAATTTAGAATCATGGAAAACAACTACAGGAGAGCAACATGATGGATTTAACCCTGAACTATTTGATGAAGCATTGCTCAACATAAACCCACATAAATCTGCACAGCTCATTGTTTTAACATTAATACGGTGCATGTCATCCACACACAAACACACTCTTCATGCTGCAGGTTGCATCTGCTGGATACAAAATTGAATGCTGGCTATGCAGTAGCTCAGTGGTTAGTACCACAATTGTGTAATCCGGAGGCTGCAGGGTTGAGCCCAGGTTGCATCAAGAAGGGCAACTCGCCACATTTCTCATGCCAGTTTGTTTACTGTGATGACCCCTGAAGACCATGAAGCTGTTTGGTAATCATCTGCAAAACGAAGCTTAAACATGCATTATCATTTTTAGGTCCAGATACAAAAAATAGCTTTACGTTTGATTTAAAAAGTAGCATTTGATGCCAAGTACCGGTAATGTTTGTTCAGCTGTCAACACAAAAGTAGAGAATAGGGAACAGTTTGCTCAACAAATGAAACAATCAGTTCAACTCAAACATATTCATGCCTGTGTGAAGAGGGCCGGCACAAGAGGAGGGGGCGTGCCAAAGACACCATCTTAGCACCAGCGTAACTGGTTTGTTCCACTTTGGAGTAAGCTGTTTGGGGGAAGAATCAGTTTTGTCTTGTGTGCTTCCTTGACTGATGAAGCCTTCTGGATAGAAGGTGAAACGTTTCAGAAAAAAAACAAAAACTGTCCAGATGACCTGACTGAAAATTGTTGGATTGTATACCTGGATTATTGAGCATGGACTTTTTTTGGTCATATTCATGCCACTTTTTATATTGCAGCCCTGATTTTACAATAAAACAGGAAGAGGTGACGTGTGCTTGTTTCATTTAGTTCCCTTCTGTAATAGGCACGCAGTGTTTGTGTGTGTGTGTTTAAATTAAAGGCACACAGTGACCCATGCCATCAAGGTGTTGTGCCCAACCACACAGCCCTCTGTGGAAAGATGTGGTCTACCTCTATAATTTTATATTCAAATTACAACGTACACCCACAAGAGTGCTTGAAGAGGAACAGATCCAGTCCATGGCAGCGTATGCTAAACTTTTAGGTGGAGCAAAGCTCAACAGTTCAAGGACTTTCAGACAGTACAGAGCGGTGAAGAACTGGCGGTATACATGTTCACTCATAGGCTGTAATGGTGCTGCCCTTACACACATTCTGTCAGTATGTCAACCTACCTAAAAAGAGTATTTGATTATGATTTTTTTTATTATTACAAAGTTACATTGTCTTGCCTTTACAAATTGTACAAATTCAGACGCAGAAAAAAAACTTCTAGCATCCACAAGATGCGTTTGAACAGGACCTGAACAAGAACACGACTGTGGGTTAAACAGCTGCATGCTCAAAGGAAAGACAGAAAGGGAGACTTTAGGTTAAACAACCTAAACAGATTTACGTTCTCCGAAGAGATTTTTTTTGTCTAAGCACTCTTCTTTGATTTTTTTAAAAGGGAACTGCCCAAAACTCCAGAAGCTAAGGAGGTAAGCCAACAAAGCTATTCTATAACAACTGCTGCGCCCAGTAAACAGAACCTTCATGCGAGTTCTCAGAAAGGCGGGGACAGGATGCAAACTCCTCACTTAGCTCTGACGCTACAGAGCTCATCATCTATTCATGAGGAGGCATCATCTGATCACTGGAGACTTCCCAACTAAAGGCGACTCAGCACATTCATGTTTAGACCATATCAGATTCCAAAGCCATCGTTATGCAATTACAGTCGTGTCTACACGTGTTAGAGGCATCGCTGTTAAAGACATCGCTGCTCAGTTTGGGAGGACCAGATTACAAAAATGACTCTGTACAACGCCGGACACATTCATTGGTTCTCAGGAGAACAGATTGTGTGAAAGTGATATAAGGAGCTCTAATGACAACACAAAGGCTTTACTCTAAACGGAAAAAAAACAACTTATTTACCCATTATTAAATAACCAATCAGCATTTAAAGAGCAGGCTACACGGTCTTCATTATCTTCAAGTTACTTAAATATTATTTTATTAAATAAACAGTTTGGCACAAACTTATTGCAAGCAGTGCCCCGAGGCAGAACGATCCATTCAGTCTGAAAGCAGCCTCTGGGACTGCCAACTGAACAGCTCACTTTGTGCGTTTAAAAAGTTTTACCAGAGAGAAACGTGGCAACGTGCAATCTTTCTAAGCTCCACCAGAAAGAGACGAGTAAATGAAGCTAGAAAGTGGCGTGGGAAACCAACCAGTGGTATTATTAGGGTGCATGCAGTCCCATGATCCCGTATGTAAAGAATTCCTGTGTGATGTCGAACTGCGATCCATAAATAGACCACAATGAACTGGTATTTATTGAAGCAATAAAAAAAACTGAGACCTTTTTACCCCCAAATAACTTCATGCAGACACTAGAATAGAAGTCCGTGATTCACAATAATTAAGGTTTCTCTTAAAGAAATGTACATAAAACGTCTGCTAAATATAGTCCTTCTGGAAAATGCAAAGGACTTTTGACTGGTTGGTATACTGTAAATGCTGCTTCAAGGAGAGGCACAATCAATACTGGATCTAAAGGGAACCTCTAAATTAAACATTATATTTGATGAGTAACCAAAAGGGACAAAGAAGGGTATGCAGCCCAATCAGGAGGAGCAGAAAATACTGTTTTTAATGGGAATATGGATCCTTCAGCAGGAAAAAGCTCTTAAAACATCTTAGACTTGGGTCACAAGTCTTAGATGAAGAATTCAACCCTGGTTAAATGAGAACATTTAGTACAGGTGTTCCTTCTACTGCAACTTCAATTATGGCCACAACACTCTT